TTAGTGGTACAAGATAAACTATTTGGCCTTCCAAGGACATGATAAGTAATGGTGTCAAATCAATATATAAACTTTGACATATGTGAGAACATTAAGAACCCACTGAAGGCTGGGGCACAGTGGCTCACACTTGTAATCCCAGCATTTTGGGAGGCCGAGGTGGCAGATCACCTGAGGTCAGGAGTTCCAGACCAGCCTGACCAACACGGTGAAACCTTGTCTTTACTAAAAATACAAAAATTAGGTGGACGTGGTGGCACACACCTGTAATCCTAGCTACTCAAGAGGCTGAGGCAGGAGAATTACTTGAACCCGAAAAATGGAGGTTGCAGTGAACCAAGATCATGCTGCTGTACTCCAGCTTGGGCAACAGAGTGAGACTGTCTACAAAAAACAAACAAACTCATTTACATATGGGATTATGTTAGATATTATGCAAAAAGTTTTTATTCATTGTACTTAGTATAATACGTGTATGATTTCATCTATAGTTCCTGCATCATAACTCCCATAACCCTTGATACAGTCTTTTGTTCTAATATTGGGGTACCTCAGGCCTCAGAAAACAATCTCTCTCTGTGACCCGCTCCTTTTCTTTCTTTTTTTTTTTGACACTCTCCTTTTCTTTCACATGCTTCCTTCTCTCTTGAAGGCAGGAGTCTTCCCCCGCTTTCTGTCTTGGAAATGGCCATAAAGAAATTCTCTGACCTGCCTTGTTGGCTGATTGTAGGTCTTAACACCTTCCTTTCAGAAGGGATCCTGTCTCATATCCTTGGGGAAGGAATGCTGCACAAAGAGGCCAAGAAGAATCTGAACAGACAGGCTTGGCTGGGTTTCCCCACTCAGTCTGTTAGTATTAGATCCTGTCTTTTTTGTCCAGTCACATTTCTGTATGGTTGTCAGTCACGTCTAGCCAATGAAATCTCCACAGAAGGCCCAAGAGTCCAGGTTCAGGGCGCTTCCGGATAGCTGAATACATTGGAGGTTCCTGGAGTGTGGTGCGTCCAGGAGGGTATGGAAGCTCTGCACCCCTTTCCCCTATTTGCTCCATGCATGTCTCCGTTCATATGCTATGTAATATTCTTTATAATAGACGGGTAAACGTATTTCCCTTCCTGAGGTCTGTGAGCCACTCTGACAAATTAGTCAAACCCAAAGAGGGGGTCGTGGGCACCCCAACTTGAAGCGAGCTTGTCAGAAATTCCAGAGGCTTTGACTTGTGCCTGGTGGGAAGGGGGCAGTGATCTTGGGAGACTGAGCCCTTAACCTGTGGGATCTGGTGCTATCTCCAGGAGGATAGTATTGGAATTGAATTTGATGAAACCCAGTTGGTGTCCACTGCAGAACTGATTATTTGCTTGATGTGTGGAGAGAAACTTCTACACATTTGGTGACAGAAGTCTTACTGTGATTGCTGTGGTGTGAGAGCAGAGGAAAAGCGCAGTTCATATTTATTTTTCTTCATTCTTCATATGAAGTTTACATTCATATGAGAAATGTCTTCAGAATTTTCTTTTCCAAGCAGAGGCTCCTTGACCTTCTTTATGGGATAATGTAGAAGTGACTTCTTTATATAGACTTTTACAGTAAAACACTTTAAGTTTCTTTGAGTTTTACGTCTCCTTTTTCATGATTTTATTTGTTTAGACGTTGTCATGTATCAGTAGCTATAGCGAAACCACTTTTATTATAACCTAGCACAGAATTTCTCAAAGTGGCTTCTTTAGATTAGTCAGACTGTGGGATATTTTAAAATATTACACAAAGAAAGCAAAAGAAAGTTAAAAAACTTTCATTAATTGCAGGCCTGCTTGGATCCTTTCCTGTGCTATTCACTATGACTCTTAAGAGAGATTCACATAAAAAATAGTATTTCATAGAGGTCTTTGACCAAGAAACTCTTTTCTTTTTTTCATGGAATATCTTGTGGAATTATCTGTAGGACACCAGGTATGAAATGTTGATTTTAATATTGGATTTCATGCTAAAAGGTATTTAGATTAACATCTAGGATTCCCCTTCATCTTACTCCCTTCCTTGAAACCAACACTATATAAATATGATTTTTTATGATGAACAAGTGGGGTTCATCCTAGAAATGTATACTGGTTTAACATTCAAAATTGAATCGACATAATTCAACATTTGAACAGATTAAAAAAGAAAAACCGTGTAATTATTTCAGTAGTCACAAAAAATATTTGGCAAAAATCTAACATCTATTCTTTGTAAAAGCTTCCAGCAACGAATAGAAGGGAATTATCAACCTGATAAGTCAGGGCATCTCTAAAAAATGTATAGCTAACATAATACTTATTGGTGAAAAATTGAAGACTTTTTTTCCTAAGATTAGGAACAAGGAAAGGATGTCTCTTCTTTACTTCTGTTGTACTGGAGGTTCTATCGCAGTAAGTCAGCAAACTACAGAAAAGCCATTTGGACTAATAAGCAACTTTAGGAAGTTTGCAAGATTACAGGGTCAACAGACAGAAATGTTTTATTTCTGTACACTAATAACAATCAGAAAATTGAATTTAAAAAACCCAGCGTTTACAGTAGTGTCAAGAAATACAAAACATTTAGGAAATAATCTGAAATAAAGACGTGAAAGATCAATATATGAAACTGGAAGCCATTATTGAAAGAAACTTAAATGAGATATTTTGTGTTCATGGGTTTGAAGACCCCATATTAAGATGTCAGTTCTCCCCAAATTGAACTTTAAGGTTGACATAATCTGAATCAAAATCTCAGCAGCCTTTTTATAGAAAATCAAAACAAGCAGGCTGATTTTACAACTCATATTAAAAGCAGACATGTGATTAGGTATCAAGACTTTATAATAAGCTATAGTAATAAATACTGTAGTTATATGGAGTAGCAATAGTACAGTGTAGTAGGTACACTATAGTACACTCTATAGTGTAGTATTGGCGTTAGTGCAGATAAATAGCCAATGGAACAGCAATGAAAGTGGAAATACATATATGTGTGTGTATATACACGTGCGTGTGTATATATATAAACACACGGTCATTTGGTATATGACAAAGATGACACCGCAGCAGTGCAGTGTGGTAAAGGATAATCTTTTCAGTATATCATTTGAGGTCAATTGGATATCCTTAAAGAAAAACAAAGATTGACTTTGCCTTATATCATAAAAAAAACTTAATTCTAAATGGATTGTAGATCTAAATATTAAAGGTTAAAAAATAAAGCTTACATTAGAAAATAATACGAGAACTTAGAGTGGAAAAATAATTCATAAGTAGTACACAAAGCATTCATCTTAAAGAAAAAGAGATTGATTGCTTAGACCACATTAAAATTATGAATTTCTTTTTATAGTAGTAGTTAATGGAAAGACACCATTGGGAATCTTTTAAAAAGACAAGTTACAAGGTAGAATAAGAAATTTGTAATACAGATGAACCATGCCCAGAATATTTTTATTGGTTTTTAAAGAGTATGATGAAGTGAAGATGTGTTTTAGTTTTTCCATCAGTTAATCCCATTTAAAAGGAACCCTAGTTCTTTGACTCACAGATTTTGGTCATAAAATAACATTTATAAAGAACCTAGAAACACTTGGTGTTGAGTAGAATGAGTGCAAATGTAGTTCCTGGAGGGCAAGGGCTGTGTCTCATTAATATTTCAATTTTTGAGTCTTGTGCAAGGCCTGGCATATAATTACCTTCAGCCTGTGTTTACTGAATTAATGGATGAATGCTTTATAATTACAAAGTATGCATAAAAGAATAAACACTCTCATGAGAACTGGCCTTTTAAGTTTAAGAAATCACAGTAAGCAGTTGGGTAAAAGAATAAAAGTACTAACATTTTTAGAATATAAAGTTAAGTTGCATTTTAGGGATGTAAGACATTGGGCATAATTATAGGGAGCTTACTCTGATACTTATCTTCTCATAGTGTCAGGGTAGAAGGAAATATCTTTGATCTTAAAGGCAGAATGGAGAAGAATTTCATCTCAGGAAACAGGATTTTCTAAACAATTAATGCTTTTGGAGAAGTAGAAATGGTTGAGACAGTGTTTGTGGGAGCTAACTAGAGCTTGGATTTAGCAAATGGCAGAAGAGTGTGGTATATCTCAGTAAATTTTTGAAGCGTTGAGTAAATGTCTAGCATGTGAATGCATGTGTCAGGCGTCTGATGAGTGACGTGAATTGGTAATGATTACATTATTTAAATATCAACTTTACATTTTTGCAGAGTTCTAAAGTTCCTGTTGCTTCAGACAATGGATGAGCAATCACAAGGAATGCAAGGGCCGCCGGTTCCTCAGTTCCAACCACAGGTAATTTATCCTAATTAAGTAGCCAGAAGTATATATAATCTATGTTAAGTATGTGTAAGAAAGTAGTACATTTATTGTTCCTTTAGGAAATAAAGTAGCCCAAAAATGCTAATTTTGAATTTTCAAGTTTTTATCAGCATTTTTTATCTGTTTTTCAGTTTTGTTTATGGCTTTTATGTATAGTTTTAGGTGTAATTAGTATACTCTTTAGGTATAATTATTTAGTTGTAATTTATTTATTTTTAATTGATACATTATAATTGCACATATTTATGGGGTGCAGTTTGATGTTTTGATAGAACTATTTATTTTAAAATATTGTTTGATAATGTTTAGCTCCCGTTTACAAACATGGAAACAAAAAGGCAGCTTTAGCTTTTAATTTTATTTGAATGACCTGTAAGCTCTGAGCATTAGTATTAGGTTTAGTGAAAAAAGAGGAAAAAAAAAAAAAGGCGAGGCCAGGCGCGATGGCTCGTGCCTGTAATTCCAGCACTTTGGGAGGCTGAGGCCAGTGGATCACCTGAGGTCAGGTGTTCAAGACCAGCCTGGGCAACATGATGAAACCCCGTCTCTACTAGAAATATAAAAAATAGCTGGGCGTGGTGGCACATGCCTATAATCCCAGCTACTCTGGAGGCCGAGGTAGGAGAATCACTTAAGCCCAGGAGGCAGAGTTGCAGTGAGCCGAGATTGCGCCATTGCACTCCAGCCTGGGAGACAGAGCGAGACTCCATCTCAAAAATAAATTAAAAAGGTGAGGCTGTGCCTAAGTTTGGGAGTGCAGGTACATTTTGTACCTGCCCTTGCTTTAGTGGGCTGATTTTGCCTTGCCCACAGCTGCCTTCCTTGGTGGTAACTTTTCTCTCCCTCTCACTTGTAGTTTATTTCTCCTGTGACATATTTGCCTGTCTCTTGTATTTAATAATATAAAATGAAGTAAAAAAAGTTTTAGTAAAAAATATATACACATTACTGAAATTCATTATTTACCATCCTGCATTCAATGTGAATGCTTGTCATAAAGCTAATGTGTAATGACATGTTTAAAATAACAATTGCCGCTCCATGTCAGGGCAGTACCTCATTTTTATTGCTGTTGTTCCTGAAGACTGTATTTCTCAGCTTGGTCTTTGAGGCATTCTACAATATGTCTCATGTATACTCTGCTAGCCTTGTCCCAATTTTGTTTGGATAGTACTTCTGAAAACATTTGGGCAATTGATAAGTGTTCTTTCACAGGAGCTCTGTAGTCAAATAGGTTTGGGAGACTTGGGGAAAACAGTGACTTTGTGGCAGTACTTTCTCAGAGCCTTTCGTACACTAATGTGCATTGTAAATGAATTTCAAAAAGTAGTATAGGCTGTAGTGTTTTCCAAACTTACTTGCCTATGGAATCCTTTTTCTATTTTTCGTGCATCTATTGACTTATCACAGAAGCACTGTCCAGAGAATAACTGTCTACAAAAAAACAAAATCTTTTCTGCTTCTGTGACTGCTCATTTTGTCCCCTCCATCTTCCCCTCCAATTTTCTAAGTCCTGCGCATCCTCAAGGACCATCAGAAAAGCCATCTCTACCATAAAGCTTTGTCTGATCCTCTAAATGCAGTATCTTTCCTTGGAAACGTGACGATGTCTTTGCATCTCTCTTCTGCTATTTCTGATACTCTTGCGTCATTTTTATATGGGCATTTCTTACCTGTCTTAGTAGGTTATAATCTGCTTGAGGGAAGGGACTGTATCTTACTTACCATGGATGCCCTGTGGTACTTCAGTGCCCTGAGAAATGGAAGCTTATTGAGCTCCTACTTCTTACTGTAATAGGAGCTCAATAAGAACATGTAATTGAAACCAACCAGGGACCCATTGAAATTAGTCCTTTACTTAATTGCACTATTACATTGCTTTTCTTTGTTATACCTGTCTTTCCAACAGGGAAAGAGGTTCTATATTGATTAAAAAGACCCTTTAGCTTAAAGTAAGGCCAATATTTTAATTTCAAGAAGAAATTTTTTTAAGTCCCCATTATATTTTATGTTATGGTCAGAAATTATTGTTATTTATATAAGATTATAATAAACAACTTATATCTATGGAATATAGACCTCTTAATACTCCTTTTACACATATACCAAACATTATTGTTTCATATTATGTTATTTCCAGCAAAGACACCTCCAAAAATTAGGTAGTTCATGTTATGATTTTGAGAGTCACAGTTTTTAACAACCTTGTGTTTCAAAGAGGGAAAAAATAACCACTTTCATTTTTGCCTCCTACTGACTCACCAACTAGGAAAGGTCGGCGTGGCAGTAGGAGGCAAAAATGAAAGTGATTGTTTTCCTGTGAAACACTGGGCTGCCACACGGTATAAATTTCAAAATTATAGAAGCGGTTCTGCATTTCTTTTCACACGGTTCCTTTCGCTTATGCCTCCTGCTGCTGCTCCTATGTGGGTGAACCTCTTTCCCTGTTGGAAACAGGCAAGTGTCATTCCGGGTTCTAGCTGCCTTGTGGCAGGTGGGGGAAGGGAGAAGGATTTTTTTTCCCTACTCTCTGCATTCACACTGATGGTGTGAGACAGTGAGAGAAAGATTACCTGACAAGAGCTCATAGGCATTATTGCTTATTAAGTCTTTGAAAAACGTTATTGGTCTCAGTAGCATTATTTTAAAAGACTGGGAAAGGACATCCTGTGCTCAGGGTTGACAACCTATTTTTAGTTTTGTTCCACACCAGTGGCCTGAGTAATGGGGGTGACAGTAGCAGCAGTACTACTGTCCAGAATGAAGGTGGTAAGAGAGTGAGCCAGGGGTTAAATTTTCAGTTCATGTGAGTGGTAATGAGAGGTCGGAAGATGATAGCAATAAGGAAGGTAAAAGTCCTTTAGCTGGGTGGTAGAAGCCTCAAAGCTGTGGTTCCTCACTGCCGCCCAACTTTGTCCCCCAACTCCCTACACAAAAAGGAGCAGTAGTGTTGTAGAAGAGGCATGGTGGATGGAGAAGGTTGTGGTTCCGACCTCCTGACCCTATGTATGTGGGCAAGGGAGAATAAGTAGCCTCTGCTTGAGAGGGTTACAGGGGAAGCAGTACCCTGGAGGGAAGAGGTATGCTCCCATTGAAGCAAGAATGTGCGGGAAAATTACATAGGGTTAGCCCAGTGACTTATTTCACTTTTGTAATGCTGATATAAGTCCAGGCGTAAACAGAAAACTAAGGAAGTCAGTTTTCTGAGTGTCAAATACCAATTCCATGTTACATGATGAGTGGGGTATATTCTTGGCATATCCTTTCTTTTTCTTGTATCAGAATGAATATTCTCACCCCATAATGAGTAACATGTGGTCTCATTTTTGGTACAATGTAAGTTCCTTTTGTTTTGTTTTAGAATGTGAGACTTACGTATCTTTATTAATGTATTCAGAATTTTTTTCTCAGCTCTGCTTCCTCCCACTCTGCCTTCCTTTCCTCCTTTCTTCCTTTATTGATTCCTTCCACTAATGTCTCTAGAAGGTACTGAAAGCATATTTTGACTAGATGCTTATTCTATATATTTTCATTGCCTTCGGACTCTTGTTTGTGGAACAGTGGATTTAGCTCTTTTAAAAAAATAAAACTTTAAACTGTGTAAAAGGTGGTGATTGGGAATTAGTAAAATTTTTGCTCTTTACTATAAGACTAATTTTAAACAATGGAAGTTTACAATTAACATTTTGTATTTTTATTTATGGTTATTAGGTGAAGATGGCCATAGTACATCCAAATTTTTTCATAAAGTTAAATATAAACCAATTATAATTAGAGTACAATTTTAAGAATTTCTGTTGAGTGATTAGAAGGTTGTTTAATTTTCATTGTGATGTGATCAGAGGCCTAGGATATGTTTTGTTTTGTTTTTAATTTGAAGGTGGTGTAATACTTTGGCTACTTATGAAAGAGAGAGGACATGTCACCCACATATGTGGGTAGAAAAACAGATACTCCTTATTCCTACAGGAGTACATAATTTAGCACAGTGGGTTAGAGCATGAGCTTGAAGTCATACTGCCTGGGATCAGTTCTTAGTCCTTCACTTCCTAGCCATGTGATGCAGAGGAGGTTATTTAACATCTAGAAACGTCAGTTTTCTTATTAGTGATTGAGATGAACCATAGTTTTTACCTCATAAAGTTGATATGGAGCTTTTAGGATGATGCTTGGCACATAGTTAACACTCATTAAATGTTAGCAAAGATGATGATGATGACTGCAGTGACAACATGCTGCCAATAATTGTCTTGGCCCACATTTCTCTATCCATTGTTTTCTTCCATATCATATTATATCTTTTATTACATCTTTCTTACCTACTTTCTGCCTAGATGGCTTCTCCTTTGGCCTTTTTTTTACCAGTAAATGGCATCACTATTCATCTGTGTGCTTCACCCAAAAATCTCAATTATCCTCAATTTCTTTCTCTCCGTCACTCCTCATATTCAATTCATTGACAAGATTTTGACTCCTTCTCAAAATTATGTTCTGATTTCTCCTGCTGTCCTCATCTCTCTTGCCTCCTCAGGCCATACCCACTACCCCCTGTCCAGGCTCCTTGCTTCCATTCTTGCTCTACTCACCCTTCTTCCCAGTTCTCCATGCAGCATCATGAGTTATTTTTGTCAAATGTGTATCAGAATGCAGAATGGGGCTACCTTGCTTAGAACCCAGACCCCTTACTCTTGCTGTCAAAGCGTAATATGATTTTCTCAATGCTTACTTCTTTTGTGTGTGTGTATGTGTGTGTCGGGGGGAATGGGGAGAGAGAGAGAGAGATTAGGTCTCACTCTGACAGCTTGTGTTTTATTTTAATTTTTTTCTATGTTTTGTATTTTTTTCTTGTTCTTTTTAATTTTTTTGTTTTTTTAGTAGAGAAGGGTTTTCGCCATGTGCCGTGTTTCCCAGGTTGGTCTTGAACTTCTGAGCTCAAGCGATCCGCCTGGCCTGGCCTGCTAAAGTGCCTGGCCAGAGCCACCTCTCCAGGCCACTCAGTGCTTAGCTCTTTAACCATGCTCTCCCTTGCTCACTATACTCCAGCCACAGTGCCCTTTTTGCTGGTCCTTGAACACATGGAGAGCATTTCTTCCTTAAGACATTTTTTTCAGACGTTTTTTCTGTTATGGCTTCTTTCCTTTCATTTTGTTTTTTAATCTCTGTGGAAACGTTACATCCTCAGCAAGATCATCCCTAAATCAACCAACCTAAAATAATTACCCACTCATTTTCTGTCACATTCTATGTCATATCACTTATTTTGTTTCTCTGCATAGTACTTAAGTATGTAGAATATTAGATAGTATTATATATTTGTTTATTGCCTTTTTAGTGTCTTTGTGGTATATGTTATATCCTCCCCCCAGTAATGTTTGTGGAATAAATGAATAAATTTTTAACCACTTTTTGCTTTCTTTCAGTAAAAGGCTTTTTCTCTCCATATTTAGCTTTACCAGGTGCTCATAGGGAAGCAGGGGAGATGGGAGTATCTTTGACATTAATTAATTATCTTGCTCATGATAACCCAGAGAGATAGTCAGTATTTTTGGTTACATCATTTGGATGTAGTAATTATTATACTGGTACCATAACTAGTGACAATTAAATGCTACAAATACCAGGGTCTTATAAATGTTTAATTAGATAACTGGTTATATTTGGTCACTCATTTTTCTTACACAATTGTAAAATTTTCTCCTTGGATAAAAGCCGGTTTTAATGATCAATGGCATATTGTCTAAACTGATAGAAGTCTCTGACACTTAGGAAACTTTAGGAATAGGTTACATTTGACATAGTTGAAAAATTTAGGGAGATAATTTTTCAAATAGGAAGAAGCATGAATAATTAGGTCTTGGTGGCACACGTGGTGTTTTTTTTTTTTTCTTTGTTGTATCTGCCTTTTTTGGTTTCCAGTGAAGTCTTTAGAAAAAAAAATACATGACAGAAAGGATATTCTGGTTTGTGTAATATGGAGGTGAGTAACATCTTTTTAAAGATGAAAGATAATAGTATGAGTTTTATTGCTAAATAAAATTTGAAAGCAATTTTAAAGTTTTGTTAGTTTTAAATTTCGGAGAAATCTAACAATATAAAATAAAAGATAGTTTATTTAATTAAGTGGCACAGGAAAATCACCCATAAGAGATGAATTTGCAATAACAATGAAAATCTTATTAATGGTGTTAATTATTGTAATTAATATGGCTTGTTTATTAAATCATTGATAACAGTACCTTTAGGAATTATCAGAACGTAATTTTCTCTCTGGGGAGTCTATTGAATTCATGGTGTGACTCTTCTAATTTCCCCAGAGAGGATTATCATCATAATGTTATCTTGCATTTTCTTATTGCTCAGTAAGTGTCCCTGCCTTCAAATTTAAAGCAAATTAAGAAATTAATTTAGTTCTGGGAAGTTATTGTTTAAGGAGTCATTCACCTGTGAAAATAAGAACCACTGGCAAACAATGAATTTTATTTTCAGGTGAAAAGTATCTATGTGAAGGAAGCTCAGTAAACACAGACCAATATTTAGAAGTTCATCCCAATTAGTAAGATCCCTTGTTCATGTGATTAGAGTGTATTCACATCAAAAAAAAGTTTGTTAATAAGAAAATTTAAGGACATTAAGCTTCATTCACTGTAGAGTTTGATTTCTTAGTTTTTATATATGATTTTTGAATATGTATTTTATGTTTCTGAGATCTCAGAATGCTTTTATAATATGGTCTATTAGTATATAGATTTGTATAGCTCAAGAGCCTCAACTTAGTAATTTATCACAAAAATATAATACAAATGTTTCCAAGATCAATTTTAATTATGCCTATTAAGTGAAGAGTTGTGGATGTTTCATGGTAATTAAGAAATAAAATAATGTTAAATAAACAGCCTATCTAGGCTAATCTGTGTTATCTATGTGAGTTATATTTGAGAAATATTTCAAAACTGAGTCAGTTTGAAAATACTTAATGGGATATGTAGTCTTTAGTACTTTTAGAAAATATTGTTTGCTGAATTGGCCATGCCGTCTCTCTGTTTTCATTTGTCCTGAAGAGCATTGTTTCCAACTCATAGGGTTTATGGGCTTTGGACCTGTTACTCTGTTTTGCAGTTTGTGATTTTAAACTTTATTTCAAGCATATTCCAAACAGATAACTTAATTGCTACCAAACATGGTTTTATGTATTAAATGTCCCTCTCTCCCCCAAGAATTGTTAAATAGACCTTGGATAAAATGACAACAGTTACATATTACTACTGTGTTGTCACTCAAGTAGTTTAATAACCAAGGGGTCAGGCTGTTTTCATTCCTGAATCAGGTTGATAATCTACATGACACATGGGGTAACCCAGTTGGAAGATGGCCCAGGATTGGGTGGTAACTTGGAACTCCTATTAAGTATACCAATGGCATATGGGAAATCTAGAGACACATACAGGCAGACTCCTACTGTGGCCCAGAGAAAAGGGGTCTAGAAAAGAAAGTTGAGGGAGGGACTAAAGAGGAATTTGAGTCCTGAAAACTAGAGTATGTAAAGTAACATCTACAAACACAAGAGCCCTGATAGGAGAATGAGGTGCTGGAATGTTGCTGGTGCTGGTGTGTGTGTATAGGAGACATCTTCAGTGCTGTTGAGCACTTTGTGTGCTTGGCTGTGTTCTGCATGCTTTGTATGCATTATCTGACTCAGACACAACTCTTTAAGGTTGATTTACCCTTATTTTACAGAAATAGAAAACAGGCTTGTATAGTTTGCCCAGCTCAGATGTTGAACATCATAACTAGGATTTGAACCTAGATCTTGCTGATTAACTTGAGAACCTGTGCCTTTTCTACTGGACTCTAGGAGCATAGAAGATTTTTTTTGTAAAACTATGCCTGGTCAAGCTTTGGAGCAATATAGATTTGAAGCAGTGTTGTTCAATGCTTCCCCTATGACTTTAGCAGGGACCATGATTTATTACTAAATTCTTCTTTAATAGTGGGGATTAAAGGGAATTGCCTGAATTCACCTGATGGAATGCCGTTCGAGGCAGAGGCAGTTGCCTTGCTTTAGAAGGTCTGGTGTTCTTTCTGCTACAGTATACTGCCTCTCTGCTAGATTCTACTTAGAGCTTGTAGGTAATTATAGTCATGCCCTATTTATTTTGGGCCTTTTACATTCATTTAGTTCCTTCAAATATATTCATTGAGTTAATATTTATTCTTCATGGCACTTCGCTAAAAAGCTAAAAAAACAAACAAAAAACAAAAACAAAAAACAACCCACCTTGGTCTCTACCTTGAGAAACTCAGTGTCTGGAGAGAGAAATGTAAATACATAGTTGACCCTGGAACAACAAGAGGGTTAGTTTGTGCAGCTGAAAACCCATATATAACTTTCGACCCCTAAAAACTTAACTACTAATAGCCTATTGTTGACTAGAATTCTGCCTTACTGATTACAGAAACAGTCAATTAACACATGCTTTTATGTTTTGTGTATTATGTATTCTTACAATAAAATAAACTACAGAAAAGGAAATATTAATAAGAAAATCATAAGGAAGAGAAAGTATATTTAATATTCATTAGGTAGGAAGTAGATCTTCATCTTTATCCCGATTGTCTTCGCATTGGGTAGGCAGAGGAAGAGGAGAAAGAGAAGGGCTCTCTTGCTGTCCCAGGGAGGAGAGAAGTAGAAGAAAATCTAGATGTAAGTAGATCTGCACAGTTCAAACTTGCATTGTTCAGGAGTCAGCTGTATAAACAAATAATTAGAAACCAGTGTGAATAAAGCACCAAATATGGTGCCTGAGTTTGTATGCCTCTTTATAGAGTTGAATGACTACTGAGAATTGCTACAGAAACAGAGGTAGAAGCCAATAAAGCTGCCTGAGTGAGCTGAAGATGATTCCTTAGAAGAGCTCACACGGAACTGAATCTCAAAGATGAGTTGCGGTTTGCTGGGTATGAAAGAGGCAGTTATTTAGAAGGCATGGGAACAAGCAAGTGCAATGCCATGGGCACGAGGCCAAGGTTCACAGCACACTTGGAAAATATATGGTGCAGCTGGTGGAGATGGCCATAGCGAGGTGCAAAAGTGACTTTAAAAGCCTGCTGTCACAGATAAGTCGTCATTATCCTCATTTTATAGTGGAAGAAACAAAATGGGTTTTTATTTCCATAAAAGTTGAAGGCCCTCTAAGTGACTCATCTCAAATCCAAAAGCCATTTTATGCAGCTTAGAATAAAAAATACCTGGGTCATTAAGGAACTTCAAGAGACTGAGACTCAGTTTACACTCCAGATTGAGAACAGCAAAAAGTCAATTTAAGTGATTTTATTTGGCTTATATTTCATGCCAATTTGAATCTCAGGATTTTGCTGAGTTATTTTATTCCTAGTAACTTAAAACATGTAGGACATACAACATCATTCAACAAAGAGAATATAGCTGTTTCCTAAAAATAGTTCTTTGAGTGGGAACTCGTTTGATGATATCCTTTTTTATTTAAAGCACCTAATATCATGCTACCTACAGTGTGATGTAACTCATCAAAATGAAGTATACCATTGAAAACAATATAAAATAATTATTACCGAAGTGTGTGTGTGTGTCTGTCTGTCTATCTATCTAATCTATCTATCTATCTATCTATCTATATATATATATATAAAACCTGCCTGATGATCTCCTAAAGGAGACCTCATCCTACACAAGCTTATTTTTATACAAATTGCAGTGTGGCAAAGAGACCCAAGGGTAGTTGGAGATGTGCAGCTATGCCCCTTCTCATGTCAGTTCTCCACATCTACACTGGGTGACAGGACATGGGAGCAGATGAGACAAGCTGTCACTCACCCACACTGCCCTTTGAAGAAAGGCCATGGGGGGAAAAAGGTGCCGCAAATGGGCTGTGAAGTTTACATACACTGCCCACTGTTAAACAGATTACGTCTAATGAAGTGTCTAATGCTCAGGCCATATCAACCTAATCCTTGGTGGCAGTTCATCCCTCAACTGCCAAAAAACACCGCCCTCTGGCCCTCTTTTGCCACTCTGGCGGCCAAGCACAGGGAGGTGCCCAGTCTTAATAAACCAAGACAGTGTGTGATCTGACATGCAAATGTAGGTCATTGCATATGTAAATGTGTGATTACAAACCTGCATGCCAAAACACATTAGTGAGACTTTGCTCTCAGCATGCGGTTGTCACTCTGCCTTAGCAGTTGACGCTAGTATTTGTCAAGTTATTGTGCAGACAGAAGATGGAATTCCCAGTCAAATTTAAAGTATCTGAATTGTTTGATGGTGTTTTAATGGTGAAGCTGTATTTTGCTGTTGAGATTGACAAATCTTCATTAAGTGAAAGAATGGTCTCTGTGTGTGGGAGAAGGACTTATCCTTATTAGATGACACAGACTATTCTAGTTTGTCAGTATAAACAATTCTTAGGAAATCATAGGCAATTTAAAACATGTTTCCTTTTTAAATGAAACCTTTATGTAAAGTTAAAAATGTAAAAAAAAAAAAATAGCAAATATCCATTGAGTATATCTGAGAATTGGTACTTGGTGAGTTTCTTTGTTACATAACTATCATTTTGTCACACTGACAATTATAAATTCAGTGGCTAGAAATCCATTTACAAATGAACATCATGGCAAGTTACCTCCTCTTTATTTGATAATTTTATTTTGGTTCTTTCTTATTATGGTATGCTTTTTCATCTTCAGTTTTAACTTGTTCTGTTTTTATCTTTATTTTTAATTTTTTTTTTTTTAAATCAAAAGACTGGCCATTGAAAATGTCTGTGGATCATGATGTTGGGTCCCATAATGTTACTTAATAACATGGCAGTGTGGCATAGGCTGTACTTGGGAATCAACTGGACATTCACATGGTTTGATGACATCTATATTATTGGATTGGTGAGAGAACTGATTTTGGTGGCACTTAAAGTCCTGATATACAGTCCCCAGTAAGTTGTGGGGATGAAAATTGGACCTTCTGTTGTTGTAGTAGTTATATAACAATTAGCTTATGTTCCTTTATTTATGAAATGAATTTAAGAAATTTCTTATATTTTAAAGGAAGCATGATATTTTTCTTAACATTATTTTGGATTTCTAGAATAAGAGAGCAATGTACAATAACAAATTATTGCTCCTTTTTTTTTTAGCGAAAACATTGGGTTTGAGTTATAGTGACTCTTTGACAGAATTTTACAGTTTTTGTTAGCATGATAAATACAGTGAAATTAAAAGTAACATGTACTAGGGGGTTAATGCAAAGTGTTGCCCATATATCAAAATAGCCTTCTGCCATAAGTCCAGGATATGGGGTCATCAGCCTTAACAAAGGTTTATTTGAAGGCCGAAGAGTTAACCCTGAGTGTAATATGTTCATGAACCAGTGCTACCTTTGCATTAATAGGTCTTTAATATTCAGTCTTATTAGAGGGTGCAGTGTGCTAGTGTGGCCCCACAGGAATGTCATGTTGGCTTGGAGAGTACAGAGGGGGCTGCGGATGTGCCGAGGGTGGTAAAAGACATGGAGAGCATCAATACTCCAGGAATCTTCAGAAGGCTCAGGCATGTCTAGCTAAAAAAGAGAAGACATAAGGGCATGTGATGGTGAAAATAGGCTCTTTTGTTATATTTTATATAGCTAGAAATGCTAAAGTGAATGTTATCAGGAACTCAAAAGGTCATATTCCAACTTTAGCATAGACAGTGTCTGACTGTAGTAGATGGTCAGTTAGTGTTTACCCCATAACTGCAGATTAAATGAATGAATGAGCCCATGAACAAAAAAGTCAACAAAAGAACTATGGCAGTCAGTAATGTTTATAACCTGAGTTTTGTCTCAAAAATAGGGGTGGCTGCTGTGCCTCTGCCTGTAATCATTTCTCTCATAGCACAGTGAAGAGCCTCTTCCATGTATTGGGGTAAGCTGTTTGGGAGCAGAAAGCATATCTGATTCATCTCTGTTTCCCTAGTAGCCAGCACAGTGCCTGGCACATGGTAAATATCAAAAAATGTTAGTTAAAAAAAGAAATATCTTTTTCCATGTTAAAAAACAAACAACAACAAAAAATATTGTTTAAAATGTAATGATTTGGTAGTAAACTCCCTGCCACTGGACGTATTCTTTGTGAAAGTTAAATAACTGTCAGGAAGTTAAGAAGTGTTTCATGCATTAATTGACAGTTTGGACTAAATGATTATATATTTTTGTAAGGTCCATTTCAACTCAAAGATTCTTTGCAAAAGAAAAGAAATATCAGAGAAATACTAGATTGGGTGAGACAAGTTTATATTCTGTGAACTAAGGACAAGTTACAAGGAGTTCCTATCTAAAATTTCAAACTGTTCATCCCCTGTCTCTATATTCCCCTTACTAGAATATAGTTCTCAGCTTCCTCAGGTGCAGAGATTATTATCTCTTCAGTCTGCTGCTGTATCCTCAGTGTGTAGAACAGTGCCTGGCATGAGTTCGATAAATATTTGTTGTTGAGTGAATGGATGTCTACACACTTACCCTGGGTGTCAGCTACATATATGAAAATGATCAGTGATTGTGTGTATTGTGTGTATACTGTGTGATTGAAAATTTTTCTGACATTTTTAAATTACAGAAGGCCTTACGACCGGATATGGGCTATAACACATTAGCCAACTTTCGAATAGAAAAGAAAATTGGTCGCGGACAATTTAGTGAAGTTTATAGAGCAGCCTGTCTCTTGGATGGAGTACCAGTAGCTTTAAAAAAAGTGCAGGTAAGATGTTTTTAATTATATAAATCAGTGTAAAATTATGCTATGTGAATGATGGATGAGAAAAGTATATCCTGAATGAGTGGGTATGGATAGCCTGAAGTTGAGAACGCTGAGAAAGAATGAGTGTTGTATTTTGAAAGCTAGAATCGAGTGTAGTATGGAGTGGAAATTTTAGATTTAACACAATTTCTAGCCTTTAAAAATTTAGCTGGTATTGAACCTGGAAAAGCTCTCACAACTCTGTATTTTAAGAGGCAGATTTGAGTAATTACCATTACTCTACCTGGACATTTAACTAGATGTTGAATGCTCACTGAAGTTCTACAGCTACAGGCATAGCATTCAGAAACTAGTCACAAAATGTACTGCCTGAAGTTAGTAAATGGCAGTTAAACCATACCAGCAGAAAATGAAAGGAAAATGATGTGAACTTTATTTACTTAGAATTGAAAAAAAAAAATGAGGCGGATAAAATTAGAACATTGATACCCAACTTTAAAATCCTTTATTGTATTTGTGTCATTCTGGAATCAGCTTTGCTCCCTAATCCAGATCCTTTTCTGTCTTCTCAAATTCATTTATCTTGCTCCAGCTCCTCTTTCCAAGTCCTGCCCTAGCCCTGGAGTCGCAGTCCCACTGAGCTACGCTGGAATGCTCACTTGCCAGAGCCCTGAATGTTTCACTGACCTAATGAGATCCTCTGGCCTAGAAAGTACTTGTCTTTCTGCCTTCCAGTGTATGTGACATCAAACAATGAATCACACAGTAAATCATATACTTTTACTTCCCTCTTTCAATTAAGGTAATAGTGATTCTTCACACCTGCTGTAGCCCATCCTGCTTTGCAGCTCTTGTATCTTTTCTCTGCAGAGACCTGTGAAATCTAAATTTTTTTGTATTTTTTTAAACTTCTTAAGCTGATTAGTATACTTGTGACAGCCAGTATAGAGATGAACAGTTTAATTTACATTTAAAAATGAAATATTGATGATTTATAAAAGGTTTTATCTGGTATATGTGTTAGATAGAAACAATAATAGAGATACCTCCATATCCACAAGCCAGCTTAAGACGTAAACATTAAAAATATTTCGACGTGTGTTTGCCACTCCCTTCCCTCAGATTTAATGTTTATCATTCCTTTGTTTTTCTTTATAGTTTTTCCTACATTGGTATGAATTTCTAAAGCAAAGTCTATTATTTACTTTTGCATTTTTTTGAATTTTACATAAATGAAACATTTTATATAAGCATTTTACACACACACACACACACACACACACACACACACACACACACACTTAGAGCTTGCTTTTTTCACATAGCATCATGTTTGAGCAATTAGTGGTGCATGTGCTGTACTTTATCCTTTTTGCTACTGTATAATATTCAGTTGTTCTTGTTGATTGTTGTTTAAGTTGTTTATGGTTATTTGCTATTACAATGCTTCTCTGATATTCTTGTGCCTTTCCTAGTATACACATACAAGAATTTCTCTCTTATTTGTGCTTAAGAATGGAAATGATGAGCCACAGAGGATGCATGTGTACCGCAAGTTAACGCCAAGTTGTTTTCCAAAGTTGCACTGGTGTACGTTTTCACCAGCAGCATATGAGAATTGCAGTCTTCTCTGTTTTAATATGCCATTCAAAACTTAAGAAAACACAATATAGAACGTAGTTATTAGAGTTTGTGAAAGAGATTACTTTTGGAGCGATTATTCCCTTATAAAATAACTCTTTGATTCATTTTTTAAAATGTATTAAATTTCTACTATGATCTCTGAGGACCCAGTGAAATAAAAAAGAAATGTGGTATTATTCTTGCCCTCCAGG